CATCTTTAAAAACAGCTAGCATACTAAAACGTAATAAAGAATTTTAAAATATTATTCAGTAAGAAGGGGCAGGAGTAATACCTTGCTGAGTAAACGCCCCCTGTTTAAGTGTACATTTTTCACAGCAAGCTGTGCAAACAGTGAAGTCTTTAGCCTAACATACAGTTAACTCCAACACTTTGAAGTTTTTTATTAAAAATGGCTGAGATGAATGTCACCAAAATTTACCACTGGCTTTCTGACACTTTGTCCTCTACCAGATGCGCATCCTGTAATTCTTGTGTTTATTTTCAGAACACACCTATATTACACACAACTGTCTGCAATCTTAATAGCAAATTTACTCTCTTCACCAGCAAACATATAGACGCACAGGCATATACACACAAACAAATAAAATACACAAATTTCAGTTTCTATGGATTTGCAGTTTACTGTTTAATGTAAGCAGCATTCAGCTAGTGATCCTAGTTACTCTAATCAAAATGTAATGTTGCCACAACTCAAGAGCAGCACAAGCAGAAATGAAAATGGAAATGAGCAAGAATACTTTTCACCCATCAGAAAGCAAATGCAGTCAGTGGCACACTGACAAGAGCAGCTATGGCCTGCTCTCTGGATAGCAGCAGTTCGGCAGATAGGTAACAAGCACAAAATTTAGCATTAAAGATTCAACAAAAAAGTGTGAAGCTGCAACACAGGATACAGCTATTAGAACAAAAGATTTACTTAGCACAGTAATACAAAAAAAAGCCAACCAACACACACACACACAAAAACCCGACGAAAAACCACCCAACCACCACTAAATAGCGACAATTCAGTTACTGGATCTGCACTGTCTGTCTGCAAGAACGCTCATTCCACACATAACATTTACACACCGAAATTCAGTGTATACTATAACATTTGTATGCAGTTTATAACAGTACAGGTTTTATTTTACGATTTAAAGAAATTCAAAATGCACTGACAGGTGCTATACAGAGATCAATAAAAGGATTATTTTTTCCTAAATAGAAAGATTTCTTGCCTTTTCCCCTACATTTAATCTTTGTCTCTTTAATATGCAGCAAGAGATATTTCATAATTCTGAAGTATCAGCGTAATTTTCGTGCATTTAAAAATTATCACTTCCACCAGAAACAGGTCGTCACCTTTATTTAACAGCGTTAAAATGCATGCACATTAAGACAGTTAAAGCAGGAAAAAAAAAAAAAAGCCTGAATTCACAAGACCTTTCTTCCCCGCAAAAAAAGCGGGGAGCCCCCGCCAATGTAAAACCCACAAAACCGGCGGCGTAACAACACCAGTACCAGCTTCGCAACCCAGTCATGGAGGGTCTCCCCCCTCTTTCAGCCACAAGCTGAAGAACCCAGCTGTAAGAACCAAGACACCGCCGATGCAAAACAGTAATTATTACCAAGCTGGCACCGCAAGACCAGAGCCCAATGCAGACATTTTGTACCTTGGTGCTGGACAGTGTTACCTGAAGCATCAGCCTAATAGCCGGTTTATTCATAAGGCACGCACTAAAATGAAACAAAACAGTCATTAAGCGCTGACAGTGACCTAGTTAGCTACAGAAGGAGCCAGATCGTCCCGCC